TGGTGTTGGCGTTGCAGCGTCCAGTCCATCCGCTCGATTGACTGCCCCATGCCATCCACTGTGAGGGTTAGCCGATTCAGAGTATCGGCTATGGACTGTAAGGACGCCTTGGCGGGAGCGGAGGCAGGGGCATGGGCACGGGCACGACTCGGTCTAGCGCCGGTTCCGTCACCGGACTTTTTCCGGAAGGTGCTGTCTTGGATGATCCAAATCTTTGTCATCTTCGTATCCGGGCCGGCGATGGAGATGTCGGCGGGGATGATGAGGTCCATGACGAGGAAGGCGTATGGCAAGCTCCGCTCAGTGGCGATGGAGGCGCAATCCGCCATGTGGATCATCACGAATTTCGCCCAATTGATGGAGGCGCCGTGGATGATGGCATGAATCGCCTTCAAGTCCTCGTTGAAGAGCGAGGTATGGCTGCTGTCCCGGGGGCGGAGAATCTGGGTGATGATGTAGAGGAGGAGGCGCTTGTCCGGTGGGGCCGAGTGAATCGTCGGTGCACCGCTATGACGGATGAGGTTGGTGATCCCAAGCTCTCGGATGACCACCGCCTCGTTGTTGAGGATCCAATCATCGCCACCATAGGTTGCGATGTCGGCACCGCGGATGGGCAGCCCTGCGACCCGAGCGAAGGTAGGCAAATCAATCTCTATGTCGTAGAGATTGATGCTGCTGCGAATGGTAGGATCTACCCATCGATGGGAAGGTCGCCACTGGAAAGCAAGGAAGGACTCAAGGCTGCCTTCCCAGCGATGTTTGCATTTTCCCATCGATGGGAAGGTGGCTTCTGGAAAAGAGAACATGGCCTTCCCAGCGATGTTAATACCATCCCATCGCTGGTTTGGTATTTTTGAAAATCCGTTAAAGAATTTTTTTAAAAAATAGTGTCAAATACCCAGCGATGGGAGGAACTTCCCATCGATGGGTTTGGAGGTTCTGAAACAAAAACAGGACCTCACCCAGCGATGGGATAAACTACCCATCGATGGGTAAAGGCGTTTTGGAAATCTGTTAAAAACATTTAAGTCAAACACCCAGCAATGGGAGAAAGTTCCCATCGATGGGTTGGGAGGTTCTGGAAAAATATTTTTTTGATAAAAGTCCTTCACCCAGCGATGGGACAAAGTACCCATCGATGGGTTAGGGTGTTCTGGAAATCCATTAAGTATTTTTTTTAAAAAATTAGAGTCAATTACCCATCGATGGGAAGAAGAACCCATCGATGGGAAGAGGGGTTCTGGAAAAAGAGAAACTTCCCTCCCAGCGATGGTATGGCCTACCCATCGCTGGTTCCCCCTAATTTCCAGAGTTCTTCACTTCGAACCGTCCCTGCAAAAAAGAGTTAGAAAACCCTCCGACGCTCAAGTTAGTAAACGTTCCAGTAACAATAAAAGAATGATAAAATGCACAAATTAGATCATCGTGGAGTCAAGGATTCCGAGTTCGCTACGAATGCGGAAGAACGACTCTTTCTCTAAAGGTTTTGTGAAAATGTCGGCCAATTGGTTGTGTGTTTCAACAAACTCAATTTCGACATCACCTTTGAGAACATGATCTCTAATGAAATAGTGCCTAATGTCAATGTGTTTCGTCCTTGAATGAAGAACGGGGTTCTTCGTCAAGCTAATGGCGCTAGTATTGTCACAACGAAGAGGAACGTGACTGATACTAAGGCCATAGTCCACGAGTTGTTGCTTCATCCAAAGGATTTGAGCACAACAACTACCGGCGGCAACGTATTCCGCTTTGGTTGTGGATAACGCAACACTGACTTGTTTCTTGCTAAACCATGAAACTAAAGAACTACCGAGTAAGTGGCAAGTCCCACTTGTACTTTTGCGGTCCAATTTACAACCGGCAAAGTCCGAGTCGGAGTAGCCAACGAGAAGACACGAAGAGCCTTTTGGATACCACAGTCCAACGTTGACCGTGCCGGCAAGGTATTTCATGATCCGTTTCACCGCGATTAAGTGCGATTCCTTCGGACATGATTGATACCTCGCACAAAGGCATACGCTAAACATGATATCCGGCCTACTAGCGGTAAGATAGAGAAGGGATCCGATCATACCTCGATACTTTTTGACTTCTACTTCCTTACCTTTCTCGTCTTTGTCAAGATGGTCAGACGTGCTCATCGGGGTCGCCATGGCTTTGGCGTTTTCCATTTCAAACCGTTTTAGGAGCTCCTTGCAGTATTTAGCTTGGCAGATGAACGTTCCATCTTTCATTTGCTTAACTTGGAGTCCCAAAAAGAATGTGAGCTCGCCCATCATTGACATTTCAAATTCGCTAGTCATGAGCGTTGGGAATTCCTTGCACAAAGACTCGTTAGTAGCACCGAATATAATGTCGTCTACATAAACTTGAACCAAAAGGATGTTATTGTTTTTACTCTTGATAAAAAGTGTAGTGTCAACCTTTCCCCTTTGGAAACCACTATCCAAAAGGAATTTACTCAAACGTTCGTACCAAGCACGTGGTGCTTGTTTAAGACCGTAGAGCGCTTTCTTGAGTTTGAAGACGTGATCGGGAAACTCAAAGTCCTCAAACCCCGGGGGCTGGTCAACATACACTTCCTCTTGAATAAAACCATTGAGGAAGGCACTCTTAACATCCATTTGATAAAGTTTAAAATCCATAGACGAAGCAAAAGCAAGAAGTAAACGAATAGCTTCTAAACGTGCTACAGGTGCATACGTTTCTTCAAAATCAATGCCTTCTTCTTGATTGTAGCCTTTAGCTAC